TCTATCTATCTATCTATCTATCTATCTATCTATCTATCTATCTATCTATCTATCTATCTATCTATCTATCTATCTATCATCTATCTCTGTCTCTGTCTCTCTCTCTCTTCCCCTTCCTCTCTGTCTCTCGTTCTCTTTCCCTCCTTTCCTCTCTCTTTCCTTACCTTTCTCTCTCTCTCTCTTTCCCTTCCCTTTATCTTTCTCTTTCCTCCTCCCTCTCCCCCTCTCTCTGTGTCTCTCTCTTTCTCTCTGTCTCTTTCTTTCTTTCTTTCTTTCTCTCTCTTTACCTTCCTCTCTTTCCCTCCCCCTCTCTCCCCTCTCTCCTCTCTCTTCCCCCCCCTCTCTCTGTCTCTCTCTCTCCCCCTCCCTCCCACACTCCCCACCCCCCACCCCCACTCCTCAACTCGTACCCAGGGAATAACTGTAAGGAAATTCAGCTATGTTCTCTCTGTCTCTGGAAAGATACAAAAATAAAACTTGCATTGCAAAAGGACTGACTGTCAGGCTGCTACATCACAGCACCATGAGGTTGCTATGTTAGATGATCACACAGATTTCAGAGAAGCATCGTCCCAATCAGCAGCTCACTCACACAGGCATGCTTACATATCCTACAACTCAGTCCAAAGTGGGCAGAAAATATAGTCCCCATGTGCCTGCAAAGATGCTTGGCAGGTGAAGTATGTGACGACCCCATCACCAAGTCTGCGTCCACTGAATCCTTGCAAAACTGGGCAAAGGCGGAGAAAGTGGAGCAGATGGAGTTGAATCAAGTTGAGTCAAATATCTCCCTCTCCCTCTCCCTCTCCCCCCCCCTCTCTCTCCCCTGACTGCAGCAGGAAATGGTGATCAGCTACTTCTGGCCTTGTTTGGTGCTGGACGTGTGAACTGCTCTCCACCCCGAGACACTGATCCGCCCCATGCTGCACTGCAGTCAATGCTGCTGCTATTGTCAGGGGCGAGTGGGGAGGGCCACATTGTAGCTCCACATTTTAATGGGCTCCAGGAGGAGGAGGGGACCCCATCTCCCACATTGGGAAGCACATTAACTTTCACTGTGCTGCGCATGGCTGGCAGCGGTGGCGGGAGTCACAGCAGAGGGCTGAAAAAGCTGCATGCAGCTCCAGAACTGCAGATTGCCTGCACCCAGATTAGACATATAAAAGACAGGAAGAAGACAAAGTCCACTCCAATTATATTATTTATAATTGTTTATAGGTCTTAAATGGAAGCTAAAACCATGATGAATTATTTGTGTAGGTGAATTATTTTTTTCAAAAATTGTAGTCTAGAACTGATGATATTGGATATAAAAGGAAAAGAAAAGGAAGAGAATGTGAATAATAAATTACCATAAAGACTATAAATTACTATAAAGATTATAAAAAGAAAATTCAGTTGGCTTTTCATGAGAGGATTTTTATTTCTAAATCAAATTTTGGTATTACTATTTAAGTCATTTGAGCAATTTACAGATAAAAAGTCATAAAATCATATGAAAGGTACTGTTATAATTAAAAGTAAATGACAAATAAATAAGAACAATGATAAAAGATAAATTAAAAGACAGAGAGAGCATTCTCAGGCCACCAACCATCCTAAAAGTTTTATTTCACTTTTTGATACACATGCAGATTGGGAGAGCCAGGTCTTCATGTTCTTTTGGTAGGCCAGGGATTGATCTAATTATGGGGTGGGGCACATTATTCCATAGGACAGGAACAAGAGTAGATCAGACTCTCTTCATGGATCCTGTCAGGCAAAAATCTTTAACTGATAGAGTCTATAACATATATCCTCTGCTTGACTTATTACAACATGTAACTATAATTTGGATGAGACATGGCCCTATGCCATGAATGGCTTTAAAAATGATACTCCATTGGGCCAGGAAGCCAACTGGAACATCCACAACATCCCTTAATTCACCCAAGATGGAGATACACAATTGGATATCATATGCATACTGACAATGCCTCATCCTGTAGTGATGGGTGATTTCACTAGTGTAGGTGATTTCATCCATGTAGTGCTAAAAAGGAGGCGAGAGAGGACAAATCCTGATGTACTTACAAAGAAGGGCTGTGGGTTGGATCTCT